TGTGCCAAATCGTCAAGATGAGACCTGATCAAATGTGCAGGCAGGGTGAAAGAGGGTCGGAAAGCTCCAAGGGTCCCTGAATATAGCGACATGGGATTCTCTCGGGAAAAAATTAATATTCATAACACGGAAGTCAGCGATTTGATCTCGAGCCATGGGTGATTTTTCTATCCTGTGGCGCAGCTGAGGGTCGAGATCTATATCCACTGTTAGAACGCATTTGCTAAGTCCCGACTTGCAACAGGCTGACTTGAAATCCAAACCAAAAATGATTTCTTGTACCGCCGGCGCTCGAAATCTGCCATAACACAGTCCACGATATGAGGCAACGGCGACAGTATATAAACGGCATCAAGGTCCTTATTCATGGGACGTCGGGCTTCTATCTGTTCAACATCTTCCAGCTCTCAGCGCAAAGCCCATTAACGTTGAAAGCTACAGGCCAGAATGCTTACTCGTAACATTCTCTTTCAAGATATCATCTTCCTTAACTGCATTATCGATGAGCTTCTTGCTACCTTCGTCCAACACAAGGACTTTCCACTACAAACCAATGCCCGGTCAATAAAGACTCTTCTTGTGGGAGGAGAAACGAGGAGTCGCTCACGTCTCTGCCACCAGTAAAGCGAATAGTGTCCAGGATAGCTGAGAGAAATGAGGTTAGCGAAATATAGCAGATACCAAAGGATTCCAGGTAAGGGAGCAAGCTGCTGCCTACCTCTGCGCTGGATCTCAATCAAGGAGGAGTCCATTCTGTCTGGGTCAGCGAGCGCGAAGCATGGGCACCGAGCCCGACAGTGTTGGCACCAGATGGACCAAAATTATAAAATATGTCCACGACAATATGTGTCGCAAAGTTCAAACCTACTAGTAAGAAGGAGGCCGCAACAGAATGCGTTCAATGCCCCACCAGCAAACATGGCTGTGGAGTTGAGGCGCGTCTCGGAACCCCTGTTTTTCCATTCCGTAGATTTTTTTAAACTCCAGGGTAGATGGATTAATACATCTCCATGCTTTGCCGTTCGGGCTTGCAACAGCAATTATTTGAGTATTATTGTTAGGAAAACGCAAATCGCACTTCTGGCGGGTTGCCTATCTTTCGCATTTCGAGCATGCAAGTATGGCGGACGCCGACGCCAACAGGCCAATACCTCCTTGTTGCCTTCAAACCTGTAGTTTTGTCGTTGGGCCGGACTTTCAGCACAACTTCTGCATGGCAAAGGTCAAAAAATAAAGCCAAAAAACAAGCAACGGCATCAAGGTCGCAGGTTATAGAACCCACAATCACTGGTTCGACGGTGTCAGAAAAAGTACGGGTTTACTTCAAACGAAAACCATTACTAAACCCCAGCTAACACTTCTTTCCCTCTAGCAGACGCAAACGAGACTCCCACCGCACATTCGGGGACGGAATGCAAGGCGCTCCGCGACGGCAAAAGCTGGGAACTTGGCATCGGTGGTTCTAACCGCTGCGTCTGCGGTTCGGCTTGGGTTCGAACGACAAGGTCACATCCCGCTTCGGTGGGCGAAGTTTGAGGAATTCGTAACACGGGCTGTTAAGGAAGAAAATCTGTCTCATCTGAGCGCGGAGGACTCGGAGGCCATCAACTTCAGAACAAGACTTGAACGAGCTTTCGTCGATTCAGGGGCGGCAGAATTGACCAAAACGCTGAAACGAGAGTTCAAAATTTACAACTATGATGTCGCATTCTCTTCAAACCTCAATGCACAGAGGGCGTTAGCAGACCTGCGCAATCCAACAGAATGGTACCCAGCTGCTCGCAGCCTACATCGCACTATCCATCTTCACGTCGGACCGACCAATTCGGGCAAAACCTATCGTGCATTAAAACGACTCGAAACGGCCAAGACTGGATTTTATGCGGGGCCCCTAAGGCTTCTCGCTCATGAAATCTATACTCGTCTCAATGCAAAAGGGATACCATGTGGCCTCGTAACTGGTGATGAGGTTAGAATCTCACAGGATCAAGTTCCGGGAATATTCAGCAATACCGTCGAAATGGTTCCTTTAGGGCAAGATGTTGAAGTCGGGGTTATTGACGAGATCCAAATGATTGCGGACCCTCATAGAGGTTGGGCTTGGACACGGGCATTGCTAGGCGCGCGGGCCCACGAGCTGCATCTTTGTGGAGAAGAAAGGGTTGTACCACTGATTCGCGATTTAGCTGGTTTGATGGGGGATAAGCTTGAGATTCATCACTACGAGCGGCTCAACCCATTGAAAGCCATGAACAGAAGTCTGAAGGGGAACTTATCAAATCTTCAAAAAGGGGATTGTGTCGTTGCGTTTTCCCGTATCGGCATTCATGGGTTGAAACAAGATATCGAAAAGGCAACTGGGCGGAGGGCTGCCATTGTTTACGGCAGCCTACCCGCGGAAATTCGGTCACAACAAGCAGACTTATTTAACGATCCTAATAACGACTACGACTTTCTTGTTGCCAGTGATGCTATTGGCATGGGCCTCAACTTGTAAATACCCTTTTTTTTTCATTTTGATTTTTTTGACTATTTACTCACATTCTGTTAAGGAGCTGTAAACGAATTATTTTCGAGTCGGTGGTACGAAAATTACCAACAGGGTTGACTCGGCTTTCCGTATCGCAGGTTAAACAAATTGGAGGTCGTGCTGGTCGATATCGTTCAGCAACAGATTCGAGGAACGTAAAATGGGTCTGGAGTGGTCCGACTCAGCCAAGAACGCAGAGACAAATGTTGGGATTTGTGACTTCCCCTCGAAGATGTGGACCTCCCCTACATTTGGAAAGCCTTAAACAACCGAAACCAGAGCCCAATCCTTTTCGCTGGGTTGTTACCTTCCAGAATATATTATTAAAGGCTTTTCCTATCACTTCCCGGCTAACACTCCCTTCGCATATATCCTACAACGCTTGCACAACATAGCGCAAGTGGATCCCAACTTTTTCCTTAACGATTGTCAAAGCCATGCTGAGGCTGCAGAAGCAATTGACAGCGTAAAAGGGCTTAGCATGGATGACAAACTCGTTTTTCTCTCGGCGCCAACTCACATGAGAGATCCTCAGATGAGTACTATTTTCAAGGAATTTGTGCGCTGTGTGGCGGAGAATAGGAGCGGCGACCTTCTCGAAATTGGCGACTTGCCCATTGATATTCTTGATAAACCAGTTTCAGGCGACAAAAGCTATCTCGCCACTCTTGAAACCCTACATCGATCCCTAGTCCTCTACCTTTGGTTAAGCTACAGATGCGGAGGTGTTTTTACCAACCGAGCGCTTGCTACCCATGTCAAAGCGTTAACTGAAATAAAAATGGATAGAGCTTTGACTGAATTTTCGGCAAATCGACAACTACGGAAAGCTACTTCGCTTAGGAGACTATATGCTTTGAAACTGCAGACGGAAATGCGGGAAAAAGCATTTGCTGATGAATCTGAAGGCGTGGATATCGATCTCGAAAACATTCCAGCAGCAGAAGTGTGGGATGATATGCCCAAACAGAAAGAATTATTGGGAGCTTCGTCTGCGACTTCCTAGAAACGAATATGGATAGTTAGCAGGCTGGATATCGTATGTATCCTATCCCAACTGCCCTCGCTCTTTTGCCCGTTTGCGGATCGACTCAAATGCATGGGGGTCATCGTACAAAGATGCCAATTTTTCAGGACCAGCAAAACGCAGCGACATTGAATGTTGACAATTCAGCCTTCTAGATACCTTACCTTGGTCGTTCCGCCAACATTTGCAGTTACATAAAAGCCACATGATTCAACTCGGTAGACTCCCACCCCATCGGGCACTGGGGAACTATTCCATTTCATATCCATATCACGACAGGACTCACTTTCAATATTGTTCTACGATTTGTGATCCCGGAATACCGTCCGGGCAACCCCTTCCCATCTCCAAATAACAAAATGACATGCCTTAACGATATCCCCTGCTTCTCCTTAGCGATCTACCAAACCACTGTTATAGAATTTCTGCAAAATTTTCCTATTGTTCCTTTCGTCATTTATTTAACACCGATAGATATCTTATTTTCCCTGTCTTCTTATTGGCGCACTGTTGCATCACCATCCATCTGTACAATAATTCTGGGATTCATTTTTGGGAGTTCTGCGACACTCCACATTCGCGATCGGAAAGGCCAGTTTCACATATTGCATATGATAGTGTATGGATTTTTTTTTTTTTTCACTTTCACATAGTTAATTGCCGGACGATAGGTATACCCAAGTCAGAATTGAAATTATGGAATTTGAAAGTTGACACTTGCTTTCAATCCTGCATAGCCCTCCTTCCTCCAATAGATTGAAATCCCACCTCATGTAGCAAAACTCCACACTACAAATTCGCTGGGCAGAATATTTGACAAACCGAATGAAGTTTAGGTATATGAGCTGTGGCATGCACAGTATATGGCACATCTCACAAAAGAAATGAACTGGCGCTTTTGGTGGCAATAAAACTAAGAATCGGAGACCGCAACAACAATGTTCCGCCGCAATCAACTTTATGGGGCTAGAAAAAGAGCAGCAAGGTAGTGATTTCTACCCGCTTTCTACTCTGCTCAAAGACATTTTGAATCAAAACCTCTTGAGTCCTTGCATCAGCATGGATGATCTTGAGTCCTTGGAGCTCTTTTCCCTTGTCTCGAAAGTCACCACTGAGCTCCAAAACCATCTCGGAGTTAACGACAAAACCCTCGCCGAGTTCGTGATCGACCAACATTTGAAATGCAGTTCGCTTGCAGAATTTAGAAGTATTCTCGATGACATCGGAGCCGATTTCCCACAGAGCTTGATCGAGAGTATAGATCGCCTGGTCTTGACGCTGCACCCAAAGTTCAAGGGTAAAAAGGAGTCCGCAAAGGGCACCGGACAGAATGGAAACAGTGAAGGGTTGGACGAAGTTGAAAAGAAAGCGCGTGTCTTCAAAGGTCTAGCGGTTCCTGATAAAGTGCCACAGTGGGAGGATGATGGAGGTGATGCCGCTACACCTGTGGAACCCGCTTCGAAGCATGATGCGACTGCGGGCGCAATGGATGATACTTTTGCGATGTTGGAAGGTTTGGCGGGGAAAGCAAGAGAGCGTAAAAGCGCAGTGAATACCAGGAAGAGAAGCAGGAGCCCCGGTGGTGACGAATACGATGGGGGCATATCGTGGAGGGACAGGTACCGGTCGAGGTCTAGATCACAGAGCGCAGAAAGGACACGGCGAAAACAGGAGGGTCTGGATGAATTTGGCAGAACTTCGAAACACAGGGCTAAAAACGACAGATACAATAATGGTTTTGGCGAAAACAGAAGGCGGCGGGATCACGATGATGAGGAATTCTTCAAACGGCCTCCGACCCCTGAACTCGATGACCAACCTATTCTCTTCAAGATCTACGATGGGAGGGTCACAGGGATAAAGGACTTCGGTGCATTTGTGAACCTCTTGGGCGTCAAGGGGAAAGTTGATGGACTTGTACACGTATCCGCTATGCAAGTCGGTGCACGAGTTAACCACCCGTCTGACCTTGTCTCCAAGGGCCAACCCGTTAAGGTGAAGGTTATCACTATACAGGGGAGCCGGATAGGCTTATCTATGAAGGAGGTTGATCAGAGTACTGGTCGCGATCTCGCGCCACAAAAACGCCTTGCTTCCGGTGCCAATATGGAACGACTCAATGGAACTGGTTCAGACGACCGCTATGGGAATCTGAGCACCCCTGTTCCCATCATCGAGGATGATGATGGCAGACCATTGAAAAACCGAAAGCGCTTAAATTCTCCGGAAAGATGGGAGATAAAGCAATTAATTGCGTCTGGTGCCGTTTCCGCTGCCGATTACCCGGATATCGACGAAGAATACCATGCCACCCTTACCGGAGAAGGGGATTTCGAGGAGGAAGAGGATGTTGATATTGAAGTTAGAGACGAAGAACCTCCGTTCCTAGCTGGCCAAACGAAACAATCCCTTGAACTCTCCCCGATTCGTGTCGTTAAGGCTCCAGATGGCTCACTTAACCGCGCTGCTATGGCTGGTACAAATTTGGCCAAGGAAAGAAGAGAGCTACGCCAACAAGAAGCTCAGGACAAGGCTGCTGAGCAGGCTGCCGGAGTTGACCTCAATGTTCAGTGGCATGATCCTATGGTAGCACCGGAAGAAAGGAAGTTCGCTGCAGATCTGCGGAATGCCCAAGTCACCAAAACAACTGATACTTTACCTGAATGGAAAAGAGTAACGCAGAGTAAAGACCAGTCTTATGGGAAGAGGACAAACATGACAATGAAACAACAACGTGAAAGTCTTCCTGTTTTCAAATTCCGCAAACAGTTACTGGAGGCCGTGACGGAAAATCAGCTCCTAATCGTTGTTGGCGATACTGGGTCTGGTAAAACTACGCAGCTAACACAATATCTTGCCGAGGGTGGATTTGCAAATAACGGCATCATTGGCTGTACTCAGCCCCGACGTGTAGCCGCAGTATCCGTCGCGAAACGTGTATCTGAGGAAGTCGGTTGTCGTTTAGGTGCAGAAGTTGGATACACCATCCGCTTTGAAGACTGCACTAGCCCCGAGACAAAGATCAAATATATGACAGATGGTATACTCCAGAGAGAAATTCTTCTTGACCCTGACTTGAAGAAATATTCGGTTATCATGCTTGACGAGGCTCACGAGCGAACCATCAGTACTGATGTTCTCTTCGGCCTTCTCAAAAAGACCATTCAACGACGACCTGACTTGAAGGTCATCGTTACTTCAGCAACCCTAGACGCCGATAAATTCTCGGAATATTTCAACATGTGTCCCATCTTCTCGATTCCGGGACGAACCTACCCTGTGGAAATCATGTACTCGAGAGAACCAGAATCGGACTATTTGGATGCGGCTTTAGTCACAGTTATGCAGATACACTTGACAGAACCCGCCGGAGACATCTTATTATTCTTAACTGGTCAAGAAGAGATTGATACTGCCTGTGAAATCTTATATGAACGAATGAAAGCGCTAGGGCCTAGTGTTCCCGAACTGATCATTTTGCCTGTCTACTCAGCTCTTCCTAGTGAGATGCAGAGTAGGATTTTCGAGCCTGCGCCTCCTGGAAGTCGAAAGGTTGTCATCGCCACAAATATCGCGGAAACATCAATTACAATAGACCAAATATACTATGTAGTTGACCCTGGATTTGTAAAGCAAAATGCCTATGACCCAAAACTTGGAATGGATTCCCTCGTTGTTACACCTATATCGCAGGCGCAGGCGAAGCAGCGATCTGGACGGGCCGGAAGAACGGGCCCAGGTAAATGTTTCCGTTTATATACCGAAGCAGCGTATCAATCAGAAATGCTTCCAACCACTATTCCCGAAATTCAGCGCCAAAATCTCTCACATACAATTCTTATGTTGAAAGCCATGGGCATTAACGACCTTCTTCACTTCGACTTCATGGACCCTCCCCCAACGAACACTATGCTTACTGCACTTGAAGAACTATACGCCCTTTCCGCTCTTGATGACGAAGGTCTTCTAACGCGGCTGGGAAGGAAAATGGCTGACTTCCCGATGGAGCCTGCATTGGCCAAAGTGCTAATCGCCTCCGTCGAGATGGGTTGCTCAGACGAAATGCTCACCATCGTCGCCATGCTTTCAGTGCACAGCATATTCTATCGGCCCAAGGAAAAGCAGCAACAAGCCGATCAGAAAAAGGCAAAATTTCACGACCCGCATGGCGACCACCTCACCCTCCTAAACGTCTACAACGGGTGGAAGAATTCACGTTTCAGCAGCCCTTGGTGTTTTGAGAACTTCATACAGGCACGCCAGATGCGCCGCGTGCAAGATGTGCGCGAGCAACTGGTCACTATCATGGAACGCTATAAACACAAAGTGGTCTCCTGCGGACGGAACACGACCAGAGTCCGACAAGCGCTCTGCTCAGGATTCTTCCGGAACGCGGCGCGTAAGGACCCACAGGAAGGCTATAAGACTTTGATCGAAGGAACGCCTGTATACATGCATCCTAGTTCCGCGCTGTTTGGGAAGGCGGCAGAACACGTCATATTCCACACTTTGGTCCTTACCACGAAGGAATATATGCATTGTACTACCAGCATAGAGCCAAAGGTATGTATATCCTTTCCAGGTTTTTATTCCTGATATATTCTCTGCTATGCGTGGTCATAAACGAAGCAAAATAGAACACTTGTCTAACGCTTTTCTACGAAAACAGTGGCTCGTCGAAGCAGCGCCCACATTCTTCAAAGTCGCGCCAACCAACCGTCTCTCGAAACGGAAGAGAGCAGAACGGATCCAGCCGCTTCACAACCGATTCGCAGGCGATGATGATTGGCGGTTATCAGCGCAAAGACGCCAAGGAAGGGGTGGTGGGGGTGGAACCTGGGGATGAAAGAGGCGATATTTTTGTAGCAAACCTCATATCCTTTTCATGGCTCATTGTATGTACAATTATAACTTTCCTCAAAACGCTTCATATACGCGATTGCAATATACACAACCTTTTTCATCGGCGTTGTAACTTGAAAATCAGCGGGCTGGTTTCTGGCGCTGTTGGATTGTTATTTATCTCTATTTTTACTACAGTGTGTGTACTGATTTTCCTTTGAGGGGTGGTTAAACGGAAAGTTGGTTAACATCTCAGATGACGGTTTTTAATTAAAAGTGTGTATCCTTCTGCTTCTTCGTCAAGCTACTTAATATATTGGCGTCTGAGAATAAATAGAAGGATGTTTAGCCCACTGAGATAGATCGCATCTCACTTGGATAAAGACCAGTAAGGAATTCACGTATATTTACCAATTTACCTAACCTACCCATATTACAGCCTAGCCATCACGTATAAATATATGTAGATATATATATAGTTAAGAGAAGGAGAGGGTGACGGCATAAAGAAACAAACCTAGAAAAACGTAAACGACAGATGAAGCAAAAGAAGTGGAAGCGAAAATAGCAGATACCAACAGCAAGAGAAAGAGAAATAGAACAGGAAGGGAAGGAAAGCTGACCAGGATATGCGCAATACTGGTTCTCTCTCTCTTTTTTACTTTTATTCAAAAAAAAAAAAAAAAAAAATAGAGAGAGAATGAAAAGAAAGGCCATACATGATAATAAAATGGACAAGTGCCGAACACGCACGTAAGAAAGCACCAACGTAAGTGGCAAACTGTCAACAAGTCCCATTTGACCCAACGCCCAAAAAAACAAGATGAAAGGAAAAGAAGCAAAAAGTACCACAAAAACATCAAGATCGCGAATATAGGTAGGTCTGGTAGAAAGATAAACTACTATATGTATTCAACAAGAGCTGGCTGCACTAGTTGGATTAACCTACTGTGAAGGTAACATTTGAATTCTCTCCACATCAGGCCTAGTCCTGCAAAACAGGTGTTATGATCATCAATGTTGAAGGAGGATAAGTGAGAACGTCCTCTTTCTCGAGCAATTCACGATAAGAACCTTTAGCGGTATGGACCCATCATTCCTGCTCCATTCCTAGTAACCGTGCTTCCGTCTCCATTTAGCGGGCCAAGAATGTCAAATAACTGCCTTGATGACGACTGGGGCGGGCCCTGAGGAAGGAGGCCGCCATACTGGGCAGCATTTCCATGAGACATACTCATCATACCATCTGGTGTGTGAGGCATTGGTGGGAAAGCAGCCGGTGGCGGGGCATTCGAATTCACGTAACCAGGAGGAGGCATCATGCCGGGGGGAGGAGCAAATGTTCGTGGACCACCTCCTATCGCATTTCGTTGATAAGCCTGACGGTCATTTGGTGGTGGCATTGTGGCATGAAGGGGTAAAGGAGGTGCGGCTGGGAAATTTGGATGCATATTTCGGTTTGGCGGCTGTGCAAGCCCGGGTGGTAGCATGAATTGGTTGGGACCAGGTGGCTGCGGTTGTTGGTTAGGCCACCCAGGAGGTTGGACTCGCTCAAATCCCGGAGGGCGTTGCAGTGCCATTGGGGGCTGTCTAGGTGGACGAACGCCAGGGGCTTGATTAGGGGTCTGGTTACCTTGTGATGGTGGGAAACCCATATCATCTATATAACCCATAACGATACCGTTAGTGGTTCTGCGGCGAAGATGGTCTCGTGGATCCTGAGGTTCCGGTCTCCTGATATTAGCAATTGCTGGATCATCAAAGAAAACGGGGGATTTCTGTTTCTCCAACACTTGAACTCTAGCATGCACGTCTTGCACATTCATCGATCCAGTAGTTTGCAACGAAACGCCCGGAGGTGGGGGGTTGTTTTGATGGTTCGAAGAGGAAATTTTGGACTGCTTCATAAGCCGAAGCAGGAACTCCGTATCAAGATTCGGTCCAGGTGGATTTTTTGGTTTTTGGACAAACAGTGCTTCTAGCCCTGGGGGAGGGCGGTCTCGAGGAGAGTTCAATGAAGCATACTCTTGTTGGAGAAAAGATTCTCGTACGGGAGACGACATAGTTGTTGGTGATCTAACATGATCAGGCTGTGGTGGTGGGGCCTCATATTGCTCTTGTTGCCTCGACCCCTCAACCTGAGGGCTTGCCTTCATAGATTTATTTCCTCCAAGCATTGCTAATATTCGTTGGAACCCTTCTTGGTCTGCATCGGTAGACGCCGGACGGACTTGTTCGGTGTGGATTATGGTTTGAGGCTCCGGCTCCCGATTCGCAGTTTCGGAGGGTGGGTTGAAAATTCCCGCAAATCGCGAAGCCTTCGTCACCTTTGTTGGAAGTGACTCGATATTCGTATTTCCATCCGCAATAATCTCGGGAGTATGGTCGCGGATTTGTTTGTTCTCGCTCCACAGGCCAAAGAACTTGTCTAAACCCGGATCCATAAGGGAAGGATCTAGAGTACCAAATATTTCGCCATCAAGCCGTTTAGATGACTCCCTTGGTTTGGATTCCGTATTCGCTTGTTCTGAGGACACCTCCTTCTTATCTTCTTGGGACGCCTGCACAGAACCTGCTTTCATGCGCTCTTTCCAGCGTTGAAAGTCTGCCTGAGTATGTGTTTCTTTGGGCCCGTCTCGATCCGTAGAGTCCAGCCATTCTGGTTCCTGTTCATGTTTCGCAGATCGATTCCAGTCCCTGTCCCCGCCATGAGGACCACGACGCCATTCACGATGTCTAACCGGTGTTTTCTCTGCCTCACCATCCACTGAATCCTTCGTCTCGCCGTCTCGGAACCAATTATCATGTTTGCCTCTGCCCTGGCCGTCTCTTCGGGGTGGATATCGGCCTGATTCCTTATCTCGTGGAGCCCGATCATTGCCACCTTCCGGGTGTTCACGATGATCGCGCATCTCCCACCGCTCTGAATCCCCATTCCGCCTGGGTCTTCTTTCAGATTCTTCCGTACCAAATGTTCGGCGGGTTCTTCCACCAGGCCAGTCCTCCCTATCGTCCCGGCCAGCGCGGCGGCCATTTGCCAAGCCTGATTTAGTATCCCTCCGGTCACTGTCTCGATCTCCAACGTCTCTATCTTTGAAAAATTTGTCACGAAAATTGTACCGATCTTGTCTCTGGTCGTCAGTCTCGTTTATTTTGGTAGAGGATCGATCAGTCGTATCGTTAGACTTGCCGAGTCCACGCGACGCGGATGCAAATGAAGTTCTGGGGGGACCCAAAACAATGTCTTCTACAACGAAGAGAAAATTAAAGTCAGCAGAAAATCTTACATTGAATATCGCGTCGATTTAAAACCTATCCAATACTTACCCGAAGTCGAGCCACGTGAAATATGGCGGCTCTCGAAAAGGCTCGACCTCCTGTTCGCAGTATCTTGTTGAGTACTTTGCTCTCGACTATTAGAAACCTTCTTTTGTAGGGGCGGGTCTGGAGGTGGCCTACAGTACGAAATTGTTAGCAGCACATACCTAACTGAACACAGCTGTGATTAAAGTGATCAGACGTACCCCATCCATTCTTCTATAGGAGGTAAGTTATCCGGTTTAACAACTAGAGGAGAATCGCGTAGCTGTAACAGCTCCGAAGGCTGGTACCGTCGGGCCATGGGAGAAAGTGTCGCGGGTTAGGAAGGGAGAGGCTCTCATGACCCCGAGGCGGGGAATATGACGGGGTTACGGTGGCTGAAATCAAAGGGAAATGCAGGATGTGGAAATTATGTAGTTTCCTATATGAGGCAATGGATACAAAATGGATATCGGGGTTGTTGAGTAGCGGAGGGGTCTTGAGGTCTGAGCTGGAGCTGAGAGGTGAGGTCAAAGTGCAACTGAACCTGGAGGAAGTCAAAAACCCCAAGATCGGTCGGGTTGGGGGCAAAGGCGCGCTAACAGGATGTCGACAGGATGTCCACTTTAATAACAAAAGCTGTAGGTATCTAAGAAAGAGGTATCCGAACCAGTGTGCCTGTTTAAAGTGTGTAGACGGGGGTTTTGTACATTGGTTGGGATCAGAATTGCGTGGATGCAAGTTGAAGGTTGATGTTGAGATTTTTTTGGTCTGACCCAAAGCGGCAAGTCCTGTTTTAATTCACAGAGAGCTTCTCTCCCGGCAAAATTTGAGTGAGTAAAGATGAAGCCCGGCACAACATGGAGCATGTATATATATATATATACTGTTAAATACAGTAGTATGCCGATTTATATGGGGACGAGTACGAAATGGTGTAATTGAATGTTTGAAGTGCGTCTGTGAATTAGTTACAGCAAGAGGAAATTTGTAAACGATGTGCCTCAACTACGAATATGCTAGACCAGGATCTCCGAAAAATATACAAATATACAAATGCAAGGACTATCGCTGTTAAAATAGTTTATTCGTCTTATTAAAAGCCGAAAACACATTGATCCGCCGGTGGCTGTACTGTTCAATTGTTCTCCGCAGACATCTGAGCTATCACCAGTGGCAAAGACGATCCACTCCATCGATCAAGCCACTCGTGATCACACTTCTCGTACAACTCATTGGCAATTTCCCGGAGAATATCGCTCTGGCCATCGTGCGCCGATACTTGGCCTTGGATCCAGCTAAGTGCCCCATTTCGCGTTAATAGAATAGTGCTCCCATCCACCTGACTTCCTCTGAAGATGAGATGTAGTATCATCCTTCGCAAGGAATCAGGCAAAGTCGGGGAGTTGTAGAGTGAAAGGACTCGTTCGAAGACATTAGCACGTCGGTAGATGTCCATGTCCTGAAATTTAGCGGGTCAACATATGTTTGAACAGGATGGTTTAGATGCGAATGAAACGTCTCATACCTTCTTGGTACGCAGTCCATTAATGAACAAGCCTAGCAACCATCCTACCTCCTCGTGATAGCTGTCATCGTACTCTGACTCATGCAATAAAATTTTATCTATCCAGTAAGATGGAATCTTGACAACTTCTCATCGTGGCCTCTTGTTCAAGAACTTGTTCATCTTGCTCGTAGAGGGTGTGAAGCGGGTTTGTGAGGACCATCAGTATCCGAGCAGCAAGCTCGCCAGCAATATACGGGAGCGGTGCTCTAGCTCAACATCTTTAGCAGTTTCCAAAATTTCTCCGGCAGAATGTAGATAGATTGCTCTCTCATATGTCGATTCCTGAAGGCCTTGTTAAAATCCGAAAGATAGTTTTCTTAGTTACGCGAGGGTGGGAATCCTTAACACGAAATTTTGACCCATAAAACGAAGTATTGCTGCCACCCTGCCCTGCCTCCCGGATTTCTTCATACTCTGAACACAGACAAAACATCAACTCGCCAATATGGCCTTTCTCCAGCGCAAAGCTCAATTTCTTCTCTTTCCCACCGATTTCAGGACTGGATGCGATTCGCTCTCAACAGGAAGCTCCCCAAATATCTCAGTCAGATTGACGCGGGGTCTCTGAACTTGAGATTCGAATGTGGGAGAAACAACTGCCGTAATCAGTTTACGGTCATTTCCATCCTTGTCGACTGCTAATTTGGCGTGTTTAAATGCGTTTTTCAAAGCTGACCGCGCTTTTCTATTCTCCGTACTATCGATAACCGAATCAAACACCCTCATCAAAGCTTCCTCGTCCTCTCCAGCCACGTGTAATAGTCCAAGAAGCCGGGAGATCAAACTCGATATTGCCGTTTGCTTGTCCGGCTGCCCGCTTTTGATGACGAATGGCCACTGTTCACTGATAACACTAACAAGAAGACTGAGGTTCTCTTGCCCGCTACTAACCAAGGATTCGGCGAGATCTAGGTAAAAAACAGGCTTCTTGATCAATCTTGTAATACAGTTGTCTAGAAACGACAGTTCTGTTATAAGAGCAGCCCTATCGGATACGCCAATACTCAATAGAAGTGCGTTAAAAGAAGCTGGGCCTAAAATAACAGAGTTCTGGATTAATACATCTTGGATCAGGCTTTTTATGTCCTGGATGGGAGCTTGAATAGTGGTCATTTCGGTAAGCACTCGCAAAACAGAGACAAAGGCAGAAAATTGGAGCGATTCTGTGTAAATCCAATTAGTTTACCTATTTGAAGAATATTAATCCTGTGGAATATATAATCTGTCTTACCTGGTTTCTGCCACCAACGCATCATGGGTAATTCCTGAGCAATAAGCAACAAGCTCTGTAACTGGCTGAATAACAGCTCTTTTTCTTCGGGCTCAGATTGGCCGTCATTTAGCTGTTTCAAAACTTCCACCAGGGTCAACGAAATATCAAATTTCTCTTCTAGAGCAACGGTGGGAATGACTCGATAAAACATGGAGAGCAGTTCAAGCACTGCATGTCGCTGCTGGAGGTTATCCTTTGCAGTGTTTCGGAAGAGTAGTATGACGTCCTTTATCGAAGGGGATCTTCGGCAAAACTCCCGAACGAGTTTTGCAGCAGCTTGGGTCCAGAGTTCTTGCCCAGTTTTTCTATCCGCATTAAACATCCGAAGAACATTTTGTAGCTTTCGTAGAGCCAAAGTGACAGTTCGAACTGCGAATAAAGTAATAATGTCTGTATTTTGATTTAGACATCTTGTCAAGGTTTTCTGCGTCAGGGGTCGAGGAAGTATGCTCTCGATCACAACAGTTACGGGCGGCGGCACGAGTACTGGGCTGCCCTTCCATCCGCAATTCGCAGGAATCGGAAGTTTGATTGTCGAGAAAAGAAAAGCAGACTCTCCTAACCAGTTTGGGGTAGGTTTAGGATCAGACGTGAACATTGTCCGTTTTGAGAAGAAATCAAATACTAGCTCAGGCGCAGCTTTGAATATTTTTAATAGAAGTTCCATTTGCAAAGTATCTGAGTCTGGGCGGAGAAACCGGATTAGTGTCGATAGGTTTCCGTTGCGAATCGGGACTGTAGTTTTATATTGACCAAAGTGGACGGGTGAGTCAAGCCCAAGGGGAATTGCACCAACATCATCAGGTGGTAATACATCAGGATGACTTCCAGTAGGGTACCATCCCGTTTCGGGAAGCAATACCCCCTTCTCCGAGTTCGTGCAAACAGCTAACAACAGTTTATGAATTTCCTTTGGCACAGTTTCCTCGTTAAGCACAAGTTCATCGGACTCCTTCTCATATCCATATAGAGTTACGAGTCGCTCAAGATTATGACGGTTTAGGAATCGGCTTTTAGCGTTCCGGGAAAGAGATGCATCGCTAACAATATGCTTGTCAATCGCCCGGATAATGTCGATAACAATGCCTCGAGAATCCTTGCGCACATCTTCCAAGAAAGCACGGATGAGTTTCCCTTGGCTGATGATGTCTTCTTTCGCGGTAGCGTTTTGGAAACTCAAGTTAGCAAGCAAATAACGCTGGGCGTTTCGACGGAGTGTTGACTTCTGTCGATCATCAGACTCTGGATCTGCAGGGGATTTTCGGACACTGAGGAAGATGTCAAGTCGTTTGAACGTGATTTCTCGCCGTCCATAAACAAGGCGTGCAACAGCACCCCCATCAAAGCCCACAACCTCCGTAAGAAGTCGTAAGCAAGGAGAAATCAAATGCTCCTTGGTCTTGCTTGCGGTGAATGCGCGGTTAAATAGCTTGAGTTGCTCTTTTTGCAATAAAAACTTGCACAGGACCAATCCGAAATCCCTAAAGTCTAACTGGCTAGAAATCGTCTTCAAAAAAAGCGCCAGCACTGATGGGATCAATGAGAGTAGAGGCTCGTGATTATCGCTCTCTGCAAAGCTCCATGTTTGAAGCAAATCATGGAAGCAGCTCGCCTGGGTCTCATCGCCCGTGTTCACAAGCTGGGAATCGCAATAAGTTTTGAGAATGCGAAGCTTTTTCGCCTTTTCGTTAGCTTTCTCAGCTTCGTTGATTGAAGCGAGGAAGTCCTTAAAATACCGAACACCTAATTGATAAATCAGGAACTTGTCCGCAGTGGTAAAATACCAGTATACAAGTGGCGCTAGAATGGAAAAGAATATACATACCCTGTTTCAATTCCTGGGAAGCACTCTGCTGGAAGGCGAGGAGATTACGCAGTTGTGTGTGGGAAGTGATTGTCACAGATGGCATTTGCGTAGCAGCAGAGTCAACATCGATTTTCCTCCTCTTTGTGCGAGAGGTGTCTTCCTGGAAATGCGCCATCTTCCAGCGCTGATGATTGTTGCTGTTGTTGTCATGAGAAATCCGCTGGATTTTTTGGAGCTTTGGCATAAAATTTCGTCGTGTCCTGTGATTGGTCGCTGGGCAACCCTGAAGATGGACAGCCGAAAAGGGCAAATCCGATACAGTTCAGGCTCTGCTGTTATTAATTAGCTGTCTGGCAACCCCCCTGGGTCTTACGGGATCAGCCAGGAATAAATTCCTAAGGATGGAATTATTTGGCTATATGTACATACTATTGCTAGAGAATGTTTTCCAATGAAGGCCCTGTTTTGTAGCTTACGGAACGCCATTCGTTCTGGAAAGATGTTTTTATACAATTTTTCACATGTACAGTACATGTACCTATTTGCGATTTGATCCTTTCAGTCCTCCCTTTAAACGTTCCACCAATTTATTCAAATCACCGGCGTCGGCTACATTCCCTACATCCTTGGATCGAATCCCTTTGCTCCTCTTCTTCATTCCCGGCCCAGGCAATCCCCGATCAACGACATCATCATCATCCTTATTCCGCCGCCTTTTTCGACCTTCTTCCAACAATGTCTTCATACCCTCTGTTGCCTTGAACCGTGGATTAGAAGGATCAATTGCAAACTCGTGATTTTCCCAAATCCGTTGGAATCGCGCATCTTCAACGTCGACCTTAAAATCGTCCGTCGGATGTTCAATGTCGCCTTTCTTTACCCTTCTTGTGTTTCCCGCCTTTGCGGGCTCGTTCTCTGCC